ACCGGTGTTGTTCCTTAGAAACTAGCATTCCCCCAAGAATCTAACACTTACCAAAGCCGCTCGAGGGGTAGAGCGGAATAGGAGGCAGAGTATTTGAGGCGACTAAAAGAGATGGAAGACAGAATGGAAGCACGGATTGAGGCGACTGTTGAAGCGCGAGTTGAGCAAATTTTGATGTCCAAGGGCTCAGGAGTACCACAAAACCCTACTCCTACTGTCTTTAGCCCACAGTTTAGGGGTCACAGCAGCTGCGGATCGACCCCGCTCGACGAAGAAGAGATGAATGTGCCTCATCCGATGGACGACATCACTGAACCCGTCAATGTCAAGTTGTACATCCGTCAAGAATGGACAAAGGACAAAGTGGCGCTTGGCCAAGCCTGGCCTACGGGAGACGAGACAATTAATGGCTGCCCAATTCCACAGGGGTACGCTCGCGTCACCATTGACAGAATACTTGATAAGAAGTATAACAAGGTACCCATTGAGTACCCCATAGTGGAAGACAGGTCGAAACTTGGTCAAAACAAGGGCTCTCAAGTGGTCTAGCGCAAGCGCTTCATTAAGCTTGACCATCAATTGTCCTCTGATGATGAGGACGACTGCGAGTCTTCGCCCACCTGCGATGATCACTCACAATCTCCCAACAGAGATCACTCCCCTCCTCAGCCGGAGCCATCACCCCCGAGAAGACAGAGGTCTCCTTCTATTCCTCCTCATCCGACTCCGTCTTCATCAGCCCCGAAAAGAGACTCCTCCTCCTCGTCCTCCATCTTCATCAACGCCGGGAAAATAAAATTCTCGTCATCATCCTCCTCCACCTCAGTCCAAAACAAGATCAAGGACATCCTCGCAGTCACAGAAAAGGTCCTTGGATTCGGTCGCTAATGCTCCCAAAGTGGACCAACAAAAAAGAAAAAAGTCGTTCAGTGGCAGCGTTATCACCTTGATGAAAGAAAAATTTATAGCACACATCTCGAAGGAAGATTGTGTTAGTTTCTTCGATCTCTGTGCCTCACTGCCTTCGTTTTTGTTGAAGTTCGAATTCGAAAGGCAAACACAGAATAAATACGCTACAACAAGAGACAAAGAAATACACAATAAAGATTTAAGAAACATACAGAAGTACGTCGAAGACAACCCAGGATTAACCATGGAAGAGGCCGCGAACATCTATTATGATGTACAAGGGACGGGAACACCGGCAATGAAGTATGAAAGGGGCAATCTTTTGGTTCCCGATCATGAGTATAAAAATCTGACAACATATATGCGTCAGTTACATGAATATTACATGGCTCAAGCAACAGAGACAGACGACTTTGGTTTTGAGGTTATTATCCGTTCGCCGCATGTTTTCTATTATCCTAAAGAAGATAAGTTCGATGTCGAGTGAGAGTGCTTGTTCCAGCTATACCAACGCTCTCTCGATGTTCAAATGTTGACGCTGTGGACTATGTAAGTACCCTACACGCACGATATTACAATTAAGTACTCTCTCGAGACATAAATTGTTAATTTTTGAGCACTTCCCATGATTTTATGTAAGTGTATAGCAAAATTTTGCATTCTAAAAAGCAAATGGGATTACATAGGCTTCTTGGACCCCTTGCGAGTCAATGAGAGGACATGTCTAGGCCTCCATGAATGTGACGTGGAAGACCTGAAACAGAGATTGATTGTTGTTTTCGACGAATTCACGATGAAGAACAAAACCCACATACTTCTAGCCTACAACTGCGAGTATGTGTTCTCGGCTTTTAATTTTATGCTTCTTTATTCGTTAAGATTATTCGATAATTAGGATTCTATGATTGCAGCAATCATTTCGTCTTCATTTATGTTAATCTTACCAAAAATCTGATCGAGGTGTGAGACTCAAAGAAAAAACTATTTCATTATCTGGATACACTGGTGGCAGTGCTGAATTAGTAAGCGATCCTAATAACATATTATTTTCTAATCACACATACCGATTTCTAATGTTTCTCCTTTTAATGTTGCTCAGTGTCCGAAGAAGACATATCGATGGGATGCCGGTCTCATTCAAGGTTGTCGAAATGGAGGGGAAGTACCTATCACAGCCAGCGGGAAACAATGAATGCGGGTTTTATGTAATGTGGGCAATGCTTCGCTACATCGGCAGAAAATCGGAAGAAGCCGATAAGTTGGTGTGTATAATCCCCATTTCATTTATGTATGTTAATAATTCAACAAAATGATTTACTGTTCCTCTTTGGATATCATCTTTTTTGAATGACAGCGCAAGAAATATAACCACGAAAGGCTGTTAGACATGGAGATCATCGCACTGCAATCAGAGCTGGCAAAATTCATCTTAGCCGAGGTATTGGAAAAAGATGAAGTATTTTCCATTGCACAATCCGTGAAGTACAATGACCAGTATCGCCCAGAGTGGCTCGCCAGATTATTGTAAGAAGTCCGAGAAGTATTGTACGATCTGTGAAGTCAGAGAATATTTTTTTATTTTGAGAGATCGAGATCTGGATAACATTTGAATTATAACCGTAACATTTATAATGTTTAATATTGATGGACCTGTCGTCTACGTAGCGTATATAAAGCGAAACCCGATTCCATGAAAAAATATAAATTAAAATCAATTATAAAACAATAAAATGCGAACGTGATATCACTGCTGGTTATCAGAAAATCGGCAGTGTTGTCGTAAGCATCACTGTCGGTTAGCAATAAAACCGACAGTGATGGCATTGCCGGCTCGAGCCACAAACCGGCAGCGTTGGATTAGCTATCACTGCTGGTTCTTGTCACAAACCGGCAATGATTCTTACTACAACACTGCCGGTTGAAACACAAACCAACAGTATTGTTGAAACTGAATTCTACCGGGTGGTCTTATGAACCGACAGTATTGGTGGAAATGAACACTGCCGGTTGTGTAAAGAACCGGTAGTGAAGTTGAAGAACACTGTCGGTTTGTAGGAACCGACAATGATAGCTTACTCTCATCACTGTCGGTATGGTTGTGCCGGTTCAAAATCTGTCAGTGATGAAATATTTTGAACCGACAGTGAAGTGCTATTTTGACGTATTGAGTTTTGAGTGGCCCTGCAGCCCTGCTCCTCGATGGTAGCGTGAACTCAAAAGATGTCATATATATCTTGGTCATAACTTGCTTTGATTTGCACTGGATCGAGCTTTTGTGTGAAAGACCTTTTGTATGTATGTTTGGAGCTTCCTCTGAAGGACCGCTTTGTGTGAAGGAGATTGTTAAACACCACAACTTCATGAATAAGTTCATGAACCTTAATCGAGGACAATCCTCCGTTGGACTGTCGGAGGTTGGAGACAAAAGCAACACCAGGAATGCATGCTGGTCATGCTTACTATGTCATTAGTACTACTAATATGGATGGTTAGAGTTCAAACTCAAATGTCTTTTTTTTTTTTTTTGTAATTCAAGATCACCATGTCTGGTGACGAGCTCCTGGTACACAACGTCACCACGTACAAGTACAATTGGCACTGGAATCGCCATTAAGCTTTCTACCCACCCAACCTACCTACATGTCAGTGACTCAGTGTCGTAGTTCCCTAGCACAGCGATCCAGCCCCTTCCCATCCCCCTGCTGCTTCGTGGGCCCAGAAGTACACTGACCCCACAAATCAGTCGCACAGTCTCCTAGTACTGTCGGCATTCTCCTCGCCCTCGATAATTCCACCTCTAGTTACTCACAATTTTTATACCCCAACAGCTTCCTGTACCCCTAGTCTCAATGAGACATGGGCCCACATTGGTTGTGGCTGTTAAAAGGGAGCGCCATTTTTGGCTGCAACCAGAAGGTTCTCACTTCTCAGTCTCACACTAGGTGGTAGCTATTTCTTTAGAGCGCAGATCTTCCCCAATGCTGTGGTTGTTGGATGTTTTCGTTTCAATCCGTCAAAGGTAACCATTTTACACAGACAAATCGTGCGTTTTCGTGTGTGTGGGGTTGATTCAACCTTTTTTTGCAGTCGATTTACTTTCTACAGTAGTTTCTACAGTCCGTCTTTGGTGAAAAAAATCTTGTCTCCCCCTTCGGTGTAGTTCTCTCTTTCTCTGATCTTACGCACATGATTTGACTTGATCCTGTTGCTTTGTATTGCCAAAAAAAGAACATTCAATTTGTTTTTCGCATTCTGTTCATTGGAGCCTCAGCTATTCTGAATGCCCTTCATTTGTTCGCTTTGGGTTCAGTGAGGGATTTGCTCTTTTCAAGCTCTTCATAGTCTACACATCTCTTGCAGATTTCAGCTACAGATTGGTTTATGTGATGCTAAAATGCCCTTACTTACCTAACCGAGTATTTCCTCTGAAGGTCGACTTGAGGGCTGCTGATAGTTGGCTGGGGTCCAGGCAACGAATTGGTGGGTGCTAGTTCCTGTTGTCCCTTTGCTAAGGTGAGGTTTTGCTCTGCGCCATGCCCAGATTGATTGACATTTTTGCTGGATTGCATTTTGTTTGTGCTAGAATCTTGGTGTTGACTGCCTTTGTAATAGGTAAACGAAATGTTAGAAAGCACTCTCAGAAACCCTTCTCATCCCACGGTTGTTGAGGCCAGTGCTCATGCCATAGTTCCCTTTTGTTTCAAAAATTTCAGTGTTACCTTCTCTGAACATCATGTGACCTTGGTTTCTCCCTACATTTCTACAGAGGGATTAAGATAGAAAAGCATACAATGTCTTGTCCCTATCTGTTTGCTACAACGAGATGTGCCTGCTCAAATCTTAAAAAATCGTGAAATAATCTAATAAACACGCCAAGGTGTACCATATGACTATTGTTCGCTGAACTTACTATAGCATACTCTTGGTTCATTTAGTGACATCTAATGATCTAAACTACAAAATCACCTGAGATTTGGCTCACGGAATCTGTTTCTACAATGTATAAACTGCCAGATGAAACTGTCATAAAGTGAACATAATACAAATAACTTCGTTCTGACATTCTAATTACTACTAATCCTTCAGACTGAATGGCGGACGACAGAGGAGAGAGTGACCCCCTAGAGGCATTGACTTCAAAAATTGATTTCAAGATGAATTTACTCAACGATGTCATGGCTGAGCACAGAGAGGTAAAACAAGTAATCAGTGGGGTCATGAAAGAAAAGGAGAGTCTCCAACAAGAGAAGGAGAGGCTCCAACAAGAGAAGGAGAGGCTCCTGCATGACAGCATGAGCATCTTGGTCAGTTCTGTATGCTTGTTGAAATCAATTTCAAGGAATAGTTTGTTTGGACCATGATGTGTGATATCACATTTATTTGCATGCCCTCATTCACTAGTATAATATTGTCCAAAATGATGAGCTTATTGCATTCTTCAAACATTTCTAGTCAGTTCAAAATATTGTTTCTCAATTTTTTTTTCTTGTCAGAAAATGGAGAGGCTTTAGCAAGAATGAAGGCGGACCTTTTATCATCCAAGAAAACATTGGCGGAAGCAAGGGATGCACTTGTGTCATCATCAGAGGTGATTTCTCAAAAGGACAAATACGTGGAGTTTCTAAAGAAAAAGCTTCAAGAGAGTGAAGCCAAGAATAATCAAGCTGAGCAACAGGGTGGTACTAAGCCTATTGAACCAGGAGAGGTAATAATGATAACCTATAGCCTTTGCCTCCAATATTAAATTATTTCTTAATGCCATCGTCCACTCACACTCTGCAGTGCAGCCTAACATGTTCACCCCCCCTAACAACACTAATTTTTTGTTATATATAGTAAATAGTCTATGAAGGGCGGGCCTGGTGCAAGCGGTAGAGTCTTACCGCCTGTGACCGGAAGGTCCCAGGTTCGAGTCGCGGTCTTCTCGCATTGCACAGGCGAGGGTAAGGCTTGCCACTGACACCCTTCCCCAGACCCCGCACAGAGCGGGAGCTCTCCGTACTGGGTACGCCTTTTTTAGTAAATAGTCTATGTTTATATTAAAAGAGTATAATAAAGAAAATCTTGTTATAATGTTTATTGATATCTTTTAGACAGCAAAATCACACTGAATATAATTAGAATAAAATATTTTGATTTATTTAAATTTGTTTCCCTACCACATTATGATACGGGGACATTGATGAAGATGTTAGCCATAGAATCAAAGCAGGGTGGATGAAGTGGCGGCAAGCGTCTGGTGTCCTATGTGACAAAAGGGTACCACAGAAGCTAAAAGGCAAGTTTTATAGGACGGCGATTAGACCTGCTATGTTGTATGGTGCAGAATGTTGGCCTACGAAAAGACGACATGTTCAACAGCTAAGTGTCGCGGAAATGCGTATGTTGCGTTGGATTTGTGGTCATACAAGAAGGATCGAGTTGAACGATGATATCGTGATAGATTAGGGTAGCGCCAATTGAAGAAAAGCTTGTCCAACACCGTTGAGATGGTTTGGACATGTGCAACGGAGACCCCGAGAGGCACCGGTGCGTGGTGGCATCCTAAGCCGGGATAGTAACGTGAAGAGAGGCAGAGGAAGACCGAAGTTGACTTGGGTAGAGGCAATAAAAGGAGACTTGAAAGGATGGAATATACCCAAAGACTTAGCCTTAGATAGGAGTGCTTGAAGACAGCTATCCACGTGCCTGAACCTTGATTGCTTCTGATGGGTTTCAACTCTAGCCTACCCCAACTTGTTTGGGACTTAAAGGCTTTGTTGTTGTTGTTGTTGTATTAAACATTTTGGTTTACTAAAATACTTATGTTTCATTATACTTCATATTTTGAAATCGTCAAATACTAGAATAAATTCATAAAAATAGGACCCTAACTCTGGGACAAAAATCTAAACAAATAAGCTACACTTAATTCTCATATTTTGAAATTCTTCGGCCGGCCCCCCTTATATATAATTCCTGGCTCCGCCCCTGAACATGTTGTACCTCTTTATATTTGGATTTTTGTTGCTTTTTTCATATCATATGCCTTCTTGGGTTCATATCTAGCCAAACCAGACTTGCTTGCGACTATAAGAGTTCTGTCATCGTGGTTATATTTAGCGCATCCACTATCTCTAGATAGTTTTACCTCACATATTTTTTATTATTAACTTTACAACCAATTTCTCCTTGCTTGGAATACACTGAGTTCCTTGACACATAGATCCTCTGCAAAGAAACTTGCATGAGTTTTCCCATTTTGTATTTTTCAATGAGATTACACATTTCTAGATAACTGTATATGTTCATATCCTTTCCTTCTATAAATAGCAGAACTCCTGCCGCCTTTTCGATGAAATTATTATCTATGCTCATATATCCATTTATGTTCAATATTTTTACACATTGGATTGTATTAAGGTCAGTAAATGTTAACAGTGAAAATAGGTGCAAACAAGGTCAATGCAGAAGAGGAAAAGGCCATCTGAAGGACCTTTGGACTATGATACTGGCACAAATGAACCTACAAGCCAATTGGATGACCGATCGCTGTCTCCTTTGGAATCGCTGGGAAATCCTAATGTATGGGATCTTGAGCACATGCTGGTTTTTCTCCATCTTTAATATTTCAGTCTGTGACCACCTAACTTCTAAGATAATAATGTATCCCTATAGATTCCATTTCTGTTCATTCTTTGTCCACTGAGCTCTCTTGCCTATATAAGTACAAATGTGAATGCAGGTGCAGACAAGACCAATTAAGATGAAGAGAAGGCTATCTCAAAGAACTCTGGGTAATGATGCTGACAATCTTGAGGCAATAAAAGAGGGCCCCAGGCAAGAGGTGGCCAACAACCCAACTGTTGGGCAAACCTCAGGTGTTCAGTTGTGCGATGAAGATGACCTAGAGGCAATCATAGAGGAGCTGATCAAGGTTCAATCATATCCCTCAATTTTTTTGCTCAATGTACTTAGCTCCAGCATGTATTCCTATCAAATGTACTTGAGCCTTATGTTATCTGCAATTTGGTGTTTCAGGGATTCCTTGAAATTGATTATGGTAGACGGAAACTTGGGATAAAGGAAATGGGGGAGCTGAGTGAGAAGGCATTCAAGACTGCCTGACTAGGGATGAAAACGGATCGGATACGAACGGATATCATTGATATTACATTTGTTTTCATATTTCTGTCCGGATTCGGATTCGAATACGGATAGTGTCAACCATGCCGGATAGGATACGATTGGATATCGACATCATAAATATGTGATTTGAGTATTCGGATATGGATATGATAATCGGGTGTTGAATATCCGGACTCGGATACGGACAGATTTAAACCCCTCTAAACGAATTCGGTCTCAAATACGGTCGGAAAATATCCATACCATTTTCACCCATACTGCCTGTCGTGCCAAGGTACCTCCTGAAGAAGTTGGTGCGGCATTTGATCAGTTGTACTCATCATGGCAGCAGCAGCTTGGTGACCTAAGCTGGTATCCCTTCAAGAGTGTCACAATTGATGGGAATTGTCAGGCATGTTAATTCTAGAAAGCTTACTAGTATCTCACATGTTCCTTTTGATCCATTCTCAAGGATAATGGACTGTTTTGTTTACATTATCAGGAAATTGTGAATTTGGATGATGATAAACTGCAAGAGCTGAAAAGGGTATGGGGACAGGATGCCCACAATGCTGTCGTTACTGCACTGGTGGAAATGAAAGAATATGACCACCTGAGCGACAGAAGCATTGCCTATGAGCTATGGAACTACAAGGAGGGGAGGAAGGCCACTATGAGGGAGTGTGTTGAATACCTGTTCAATCAGGTGAAGCTACTTTCGGCGTCCAAGCGCAGGAATACTCTCAGGTACTTTACATTGTATTGGAACTGATGTACTGTTGTGAAAATGCTATCAGGAGGATATATTTATGATCTGTATTAGAGAAATACACTTACGCACGATATTATGTCGTTCGTCATGGCAATGGAGGCAATGAGCTGTCCTGCATTGACCTGAACTACAAAATCACAGGCCATGTGGATAGTAAAAAACAATGAACTTGTTAGGCGTCCTTTTGGTATAAGCACTTCATGCCTTCAATGTTTCAACAGATGTTGAAGCTAGTGCGCAGAACATATGTTCCATCGCTAACATTTCTAGATATCATTTCATTTGTTAATGAATATACAGTGAACTGAAATGTTTTGTTAACAAACTAAAGTCACATAGAAACTATTCTATCACCTTTCCTTTTTTGAACAAACAAGCAAAAGACAGTGCTTATTTCATTTATTGAGAATGAGAACAGAGTTACAATCACTTAGGACCAGCAGAGTGTAAAAAAAGGAGCAGGGTCTAAGTTAGATTAACAAAAACTGCTAAATGTTCGGCTCCTGCAATGGCCCAGGTTCGGGCCTTCTCTGTCTTGCTCCGAAACATTTGTGTAGCATTTGCTCAGAAGCTGCTAAACTCTGAAATGTTTGATTTTCAGTTCATTGTACATATGTTTGATTTTCAATTCTCTATACGAAACAGCAGTTTTCTGTGACTTTGGTTTGTTAATGAAAATGAAAACATTTTGGACTTCATTCATGCACCATATCATGGTAGAAATGTCTTCTTTTTACGAATGAAGTGGTCGAAATGGAATGATATGATTTGAACACCACATGTTATTTGATATTATGGACAGTAGATTACAGCTGCAGACCCATCTTTTTTTATTATAAAAAAATGCAGAACAATACATTCATGTTTCAAAGTTGCATCGTGAATAATTGACATTCTGGGATTACCTTAGTTGATGTTTCTTTTCAAGTTGCTGCATTTCTCTCCGACAATCAAATCCATTACAAACGCCAAACTGTTTTTCTACATGGAACTCAAGCTTGCCCCATCTTGTTGTGCAGGTCCAGCGGCAGGGCATGAAACTGCCTTCAAACTCTCAAAAATCTGACGCGACACAGGAAGCCACAAGCTCCTTTGGATTGTGTACATATATGCCCATGACTTAAGTAGGCCATGGTTCTGCTTCACAGAAGCAGCGCCTCTGATGTAGTGAGTTCACATCTCTGGACTGATGAACAATCAGAGTGTATGCTGTAGCAAGGAATTTTATAGGACTGTAAGGAATTATGGTTTAGGACTAATTGACTATGACATGTATGTTACTCCCATAATGCTTCGTATTAGGACTATTTTTCGGTTCTCTGAACCTCTTTATTTTGGTCTGCTGTCCGTTTGCACTTGGAAAGTGCTCTGGTTTTTGGCTTCTTGCTCTGAAGTTGCCTTTGGTTTGTTGTGCAAACTAGTGCCAAGAACTTGAAAATGAACTTGTCTTTGGTGTAGCACTGTCAGGAAACGCCATTGCCATGCCCATACCTGCAACGCAAGATGCAGCTAGCTTGACGGAACAGAGCATCAACACTACACACGGGAGGACAATGAGTGCCGTGGTGAGCAAGTCCTCGCCGGGGGCGTGGCTAACGTCCTCACACTAGCCCTCCGTCTGGACGCCTGCGTGTTGCACCTCGCCGCTACACCTGCCCGCCCATGCCTCGCCTGCTGTGCCTGCCAGCCCACGCCTGCTCTGCTGCGTGCCCACTTGCTGCTACTGCACATGCTACATGCTGCCAGTGTGCCCACGCATGCACATGGGGACCACCCGTGCTAGCGGGGACCGCCTTCGCCTGCCCTTGCTTCTCGCGCTTGACACCGAGATGAGACAACAGAAGGTGGAGAGAGAGATGCAACACCCAATCTAGTTTTGAAATATCCAGATACAACAATTGCAACATACCTCTAAGGACAATAAAACATTTAAAACATGCGTCTGAAACACTTGCAAAACCACCTGAAAACACTTGAAACCATTGCAAAACATACGCAACATTCAGATAAAACACTTAAAACATATGTGTAAAAACATATGCAACATCTAGATAAACACACTTGCAACATATGTCGAAAAAAAAGATGAAAAATTAAAAACAGAAGCTAGCAACATACGTGTACAACCATTGCAACATATGCAATATCCATCTGAAACACTTGCAACATACCTCTGAAACACTTAAAATGTACGCTTGCAACATGTCTTTTTCACCCTTCTTCCGTGCGACGCAGAGCAGAGCGAGGGACGGTCGGTTCCGGCCACCGACAGTCGAAGATGGTGGCACGGCTTGGCAGCGGCTAGTTGCGCCTGCGCCTGTTCTGGGCCGGACCAGCGACGGCCCCCTCTCTCGGCGGGGACGAAGGCACCGCTATAGTCACCGATCACGCGCATGGAGCTTGGAGGCGGAGGGCGAGGTGCCGGTGACCGTGTTCAGCAGCAATTGCAGTCGGTGGGGCAACTGGCAGCGTACCTTAGCGGAGGATTCCTCCTCTCTGCGGGGGACGAAGGCACCGAGGGGTGCGGGACCGGGCGCCGCGGAGGATGGTGGTGGAGGCGCGCCAGAGTGGGCCGTGGTGCAAGATAGAGGCGCCGCAGGAGATGGCAACGGCGGCGCGGCGGAGTGGGGTGGCGGACGGCCGCATAGCGCGGTGAAGCCGAGATAGCGCGAGGCGGGGCCAGGAATTTATTTTATGAGAGAGGCGGGCGAAGCGGAGTGGGATGCGCGTCCGACGGTGCGCACTCCTGCGTCTAAGCGTTTCCGTTCGACCAATGTTTTAAATCTCTAGCTAGTGGCTAAGAAAGGGAGCAGCTAAGGGCCTGTTTGGATGGACTAGGACTAGTGATTAGCCTAGTCCTATTTGGATCAAGGGCTAACAAGTAGATGGAGGTAGCTCATCGCGATGGCAGTCCGGCGACACGTGGCATCTGGAGCCTGCGGCGGCGGGCATGGCCATCTAGAGGCAGATCAGCGACTCGTGGCGTATGCAGGCGTAGGCGCATAGCGGCGGTGTGGGGGCTTCAAGTCACGGCACTGGAAAGGCGACCTTCAGCGCAAGCGACCGGGTGAAGCTCGTCGCTACCGGAGCCGGAAACAGTGGTGCGGGGGAGAGGAAAGGGCTCCGGCAGCTGGTGAGACGATGCAACACGGGCGGATGAGGGAGGGAGAGGAAACGCAGCGGCGACAGACAAAAATGTCGCGCGGGCGGATGTGGGAGGGGAAACGAAAAACTCATGGATAGGGTCACGTGGGAGTGGGGGTAATCGGTGTCTGTGTTTTTTAATATGGTGAAACTTTAGCCCCTGATAGTTGAATTCTATGGACTAGTGAGTTAACAACTTGTTTGGGGCTTTGGCTAAACTTAAGTCCACTTATTAGTCCTCCTATTTGGATCTTCAAGGGCTGCAACTAGTTTTTGTGGATGCAAATAGAGCCTAAGAGATCGATCTTTTTGCGCTAAGAAGACTTACGCGCTAATAGCGCTGTTTATCCGGAGATTGCTGCTAAACAAGCCTTCAGTTAGCGGAGTTAGCGGTAGCTAAACATTCCTGTCCCATGAAAACAGTTGGCCCAATACGCCTCACGTCCAATAGTCCAACCACGTAACCCTAACTAGCCCTTCATCTCCCCGTCCCCGACTCTCTATTCTGTTGTGCTGGCTCTCCAGCTCCACAGTAAAGAGGAGGCGGCGGCTGTGCATCCCGGCGTTCGGGGTGCTGCCGCCGTGCAATGGGAGAGACGACACAAATGTGTCTTCCATAGTCGTCAAGGAGTATATGCAGATGACTTCCTCCAACATCTAGCAAGACTCAACTGTCTGTTATACTCCATCCATTCCAAATTATAATCAATTTGTACTTTTGCTATGCATCTAAAATACGCTATGTCTAGATACACAACGAAAGCTGTATATTAAAAAAATCAAAACGACTTATGATTTGGAATGGCAGGAGTAACTTATATGGCTAGGGGAATTGAAGCTTGTGCAGTCCTACTTCCACGTGCCATGTACTCGTGTTGTGATAATAGAGTAGCAGTGAAATGAATAATTAAGACTAGCAAACTAATTTCCCACAGACATAAAAACAGGACCTATGCTTAAAAGTTTCCAACCACAAGTTGTCCAATCTTTCAACAACCATATATTTGCTGCAATTAGCTCACTAAAATATCACTCCATCATCTTAAAATAAAGAAATCAAAAGACACATATGGCTTCCATGCCAACTTATTCATACAAGCAATGACTTCACATATGGAACAATAACAAGCAAGAATGTGTCTTTATCAACATATAGCAAGAGAATTAACGAGTCTAGCAGAGAGGACACCAAGATTTATATGGAAAACTCCTTATATTACGAAAAAAAACCATAGGCGACGATGAACAATAAACTATGAGATGAAGAAATACCATGGGAAGCTTCAAATCCACCAAAGATTTCACTTCCTATTTAATGAATCAAAACCTCTAACCCTAACCCTCAACCAAAATAACACAATACTCTATTCTAGGTCAAGTTTGTCAAAGGGACTTATATTGGTAATTTTCATATGGCCTTCTAAGCTCCGAATTATCACAAGCTGCCTTGATTCTAGCATATAATATGTATAGCCAATGTTTTTCATAACAAATAAGCTGCAAATCACACACATTAATATATTTTGTTTGCCCCCTTTTTAAAATAAAAGTAAAAAAATTATATTCATGTTTGTTGTGTTGTTGGCCCAAATTCTACGGTATAAACATGGCCTTAGGGAAAATTATAAAAGAAAATTCTAACTGTTACTTGCTAGCAGCCTAAAATTATCTTCGTGTTCTCGGTCAATTCTATGTTTGGTCAGCATGCTGCCAAACATGTTTCAGTTTGCACAAGAAATTCGATATTGTTTTTGCCTTGATTAGTTAAGGTCATTCGACCACAAATATAAAATCCATTTGTATTTGTCCTTGTTGAATGTAACCCTGAGTCCTTGACTGTTAGTATCTAAAAATTTCATATACATTGACAACACAAAATTGGCATTACTAAATATAT